TAAAGAACGGCAGTTCTTCTGTCTCCTCAGCGCGAGACCATGCTGCTGCTGCTGCTGCTGCTGCTGCTGCATCTGCTGCTGCTCCTGCTGCAGAGTCTTCTGCTTCACCTAGCAACGCACGAGCCCTACCCCTGGCTGCCTGCGCTGCGTGCTGCAGCAGCAGCAGCAACAGCAGCAGCAGCAGCAGCAGCAGCAGCAACAGCAGCAGCAGCAGGACAAGCAGCAGCAGCAGCAGAAGCAGCAACAGCAACAGACAGCAACACACACCAAGGCAGAGCTGATGAATAACAAACAGCGAAGTAGCAGCATCTCAGCAGCAACAGCAGCAGCAGCAGCAGCAGCAGCAGCAGCAGCAGCAGTAGCAGCAGCAGAAGAAGAAACAAGAAACCACGCCAACAGCGCATGCATGCAAGCACCCAATCGCATGCACGCATGCATGCATGCATGCATGCACTCACTCGCGTGCATGCATGCATGCATGCAAGCACTCAATCGCATGCATGCATGCATGCATGCATGCACTCACTCGCACGCATGCATGCATGCATGCATGCATATATTTGTATTTATATTTACTTGTTTATCTTCCTCGTCCATAAAGTCTTCTGGCCGTCCCCCAAAATAAAGAGCGCGAGAAGAACGAGAAGAAGAAAAAGAAGAACAGCGAAACCCTGATGAGGTGTACATACACCCCAGCATGCAGCAGCAATTCAGGTGTATACGCAGCTCAGCATGCAGCAGCAATTCAGGTGTACATACACCCCAGCATGCAGCAGCAATTCAGGTGTATACGCAGCTCAGCATGCAGCAGCAATTCAGGTGTATATGCAGCTCAGCATGCAGCAGCAATTCAGGTGTATACGCAGCTCAGCATGCAGCAGCAGTTCAGGTGTATATGCAGCTCAGCATGCAGCAGCAATTCAGGTGTATGTGCAGCTCAACTAGCAACAGCAGCAGCAGCAACAGCAGCAACAGCAACAGCAGCAGCAGCAGCAACAACAGCAGCAGCAGCAAGAAGAGAGACAGCACAAGAGCGATATCTTCATATAAATATAAACATAAATAAAAATTATATAAATACAAATATAAACATAAAAATAAATATAAAAAAATATAAACATAAATAAATATAAATATAAATAAATATAAATATAAATAAATATAAATATAAATAAATATAAATATAAATAAATATAAATATAAATAAATATAAATAAGATATACCTTCTTCTTCTCCAGCTTGCTGACTATGCTGAGGTGTATGTACACCCCATTTATGTTTATATTTTGTAGTTTGTGTATTTATATTTTCTTCATTTCTTTCTTTTTCTCCATCATAAAAATAAAGAGCAGCCATCTCTTTGGATGCTGCGAGTTCATTATATCTTTCTGCTACTTTTTTTTTTGCTGCTGCTGCTGCTGCTGCTTCTGCTGCTGCTGCTGCTGCTGCTGCTGGGTTTTCGTGCTGCTCATGATCTCCGCTTTCTTGCTGCTCCGCAGCAGCAGCAGCAGCAGCTGCTGCTGCTGCTGCTGCTGTTGCTGCTGCTTTCTCTGCCTTTCTCAGAGCCTCCTGCGTTCTTCTTGCTTCTGTTTTAGCAGCACGAGCAGCAGCAGCAAGCAGCAACTTAGTTGACGGCTGCTGCTGCTGCTGCTGCAGCCACGGCTGCTCCCTATACACCTGAAGCTCCAGCTCATCGATAGAAAGAGGAGATATTGCTGTTCCTAGGAAAGCACAACCAACAGCCTGGGGCTGTGCATGCAGCTGCAGCTGCAGCTGCAGCTGCAGCTGCCGGCTGTCGCCACGCAAACCCTCAAAAACACCCGCCATACTAAACCCTAAACCCTAAACCCTAAACCCTAAACCCTTGAGCAAACAACGCGGGAAAATATGTAGGAGACGAGCCGAAGAATGCAGAATCCAGGTGTATATACACCGCAAGAAAAATAAAGATTCTTTTCTCCTCCTTTTTAAAACCCTTTCTGCTTGTTTTCAGGTGTATGTACACCTCGTGCTGCTCAGGTTACGCGGGGGCCCCTCGGTAGGTGGGGGGGGGGCCCCCAGCTGAATGCATGTTGGTCTGTTTGTTGTTTTGTGTGGAGGAAGTTGAGGTGTATAGGCAGCTTTTGAATATTTTGGAGAACAAATGGGGTGTACATACAGCAGAAGTCTGAACGCGGACTGCATGCAGCCGCCGGCTGTCGTGACAGCCGAAGAGTGTATATATAATTATATGAAAAATTTATTCATTTATTTATATAAATTTTATTTTTTAATGATTAATTTCCATCTAAATCTACCCTTATCGAGCATTTCTCCTCTTCTTTCCTAATAACACCGAGCGGGGGGCCCCCCAGCACCCGCCGCTCTCCCGGGGGGCCCCCCCCCCTGTTTGTTATATTGTAGCGACCTT